TCGTGCCCTTGTACCGTCACAGGAGGCCGTATCTGCTTGTACCAAGCAAATCAACCCACACTTCCTCGGTCTGAAGACCAGATTGTGGTCACCGCAACTAGCCGTAAACAAACACTTGTCGAAACATTCGTCTCGCAGCGTGCTTCTGGTCTGATGAATGAGGTGTCGACATGCTCTTCTATGCAAATGAGGTCAATCTATATAAATTTCCTCGAAACGAAACTGTGATCTTTGACTCCCTGTTCAACTCACAACCTGGCGAGGAGATGAAACACAACTACACAGGAATTTCCACTTCTGCTCCACAAGAAGCAATACAATTAAGGCATTCTTTCATACGTAATAAGTCTACCAACTATCATGAGAAGAGGCAGGGTAAGCAAACGTGGGCGGAGCTGAGTGGATCGAGCCGAGTGGGTCGAATGAATGGGTCGAGGTGAATGCACTTAACTACATGGACGATATCCAGAAGGAGAGCAATCTTCTCGCACGCCGTACAGAGTCCCAGGGCAGAAGTGAACTACTGGATGAGACAGAACAAGATCCAGGGATACACACACACGCGTCGCATAAACAAGCCGACGGAAGCAAATTGCAATACATTGTAAAAACATCCTCTGGTAGAAAACACAACGATTTGTGGCTGTGTCTTAGATACAAATATGTCATCGTCTCAGATTAATGGATTCGGCCAGCTGCGCAGGCCAAATGACAGACAACCTGTGAGATCCGTGGCTCGAAACCGAGAACCCAGTCGAATAGACTCAATGCCGCACGTATGTGTGAGGGTTCCCTGTGATCTCCGTGTGCATCGCCGGGAGTTCACTCGCCAGCCATTTCCGCATTAGTTCCCCGTTTTGAATCGAGCTTTGGTGTCCGCGCTTGAAGAAGGGAGGCTGAAGCAACAGCATCTGCTTGGGTCTTTGGCCTGATTTCTGAGCACGGCGCTCCGCCAACGCGGTGGCATAATTCCTTGCATTGGGATGATTATGTGAAATTGTTTGCCCGCATGTTTTGTAACGCGTCAAGCTATTCGATGCCAATGCTGAGGGCACAGGTAAGGAGCACGCTTGGTTTGGTGGCCTTTTTACCGCTGACCACTTTGCCGCCGGCCGTTTTTCGGCTGGGTCTGGAAGGAGCCACCCAGATTCATCATGTTGCGGGTTCTTGGCTCTTGTTCCAGAAAATGAATCATCGATCACTTCCAGATCTTCCGCTGTGAACTGGCTGGTTTTGTTCATTACAACACCCCAAAAATCGTTGCGCTGCTTCAAAGACATGACGTTGAGAGGGTATATAAATGTAAAGCACGAGCTGGACAACGATGAAGGTAGTTGACTTGGTGTTTTCCGGGTAATATAGCAATCGTATGATTCAACAGCCCAATGAACCGGAACAGATCACGGCCGGTATCCTTATGTGTTGCAGCTACTAATATAACGATCACATTGTGCTTCAACACCGACACCACAACTGCTAACATCCATGTGGCCAATCCCGTGGGCCTTGTCCGCAGCTCTGCCACACTCGAATTTCACCACTGTTATCATTACCATCCTCGCTTCCGTTTTGCTATTTGCGTCACCTCTGTACAGTACGGGCGGTCCACATGAAAGCGATGCATGAGCTGCAGCGCCATCTTGTTGTGAATTCAAGTTATATTGACTGAGAGTTTCGGCACTTCGAGATAATTACTTCAATAAAGATAGCAAAAGAAGCCAGCACGACAAGCATATGCACCAACGCCGAATAGGGTAGACCGCGACGCATTGGCAGCTTGAACTTCTGTGTCCTTCCCGCTTAGCTATGGGCTGAAAACACCATAAATAGCGGGAAAGGGGCTGCCGTACTTGCGATGTACTTTACAGCAATGTGGCCCCTTTTCAGGCAGCGGCTGACACATCCTGCCCCATCATTATTTTTGTAACGGAGTCTTGAGTGACAAAAGCTGTGCTTTTCGTACTCTGATTCTAGCACGGGTGTACAGTATTTGTATGCGAAAAGTAGCATACTCTTGGTGGTCAAGTGGCAAATTGCGGTAGAATGCAACTTGGGCTGTTCTCTCAGAAACAAACTCAGCGACATTCTCCGTCGCTTGAAGAGATTTTAAACCATCTCATCATACGGGTAAGTACTGTACGGTATTATGTATACGGTACAACACCGTAGCGCAAATGCTGCGATGCTGACACCATAATGTGTATCCTTAGGCGCTTCGTCAGAGAACAAATCCCACCAGCAACAAAATACTTAACCTCTATTGAGCGTTACTGTAAGTATAGCGCAGCCGCATTCCTATTGCTTAGCCGCTTAGCATTTGTTAACGGCTGGTACGACATACATATTCTTAACCGACCTCCAGCATTACAGTGCATGGGCAAATGCAGAGAATATTATCAATGGCAGAGATATAACGTTCACGAGGCGCACTCCACATGGCTTGTTGCTTGTTCTATGCATCATGGCTATAAGTACCTGACCCCAAGCACGGCTTCCCCTGCCAGCCTGGCAGGGGAAGGTAAACATCCATCTTTTTCTCCGTAGCTCAAGTTGATGCAAGCCCCGTTACCCACAATACCTTACGAATTGTTATTGCAATGTCGCAGGATTGGAATCACAAACTCTGTGAATGGGGAGGCTGCGGCAACTGTTTACTGAGCTGCTTCTGCCCATGTGTCCGTGCGTCTATCCACATTATCGCCGACAGATACAAGACAACTGATATTAATCGACTTTGAACAGTCTTCTGTAGCACATGGGATCGCCTAGAGCCCTGGTCGAGAAAAGAGCAGTGCATAATCTTCGCAGCAATTCATGCGACAGGCTTTGGTTGGCTGTAAGTGTAAATTGTATTGGGCAGCAAAGCATAGTTCCTTACACTGAGTGTCTTCAGGTATAACGCAATCAAGCGAGGACAGTTTCGTGGGAGATACGATATGAAAAAGAACACGCTTGGCGACTTCATAGCTAGTTGTTGCTGCATGTCCTGTGCACTCGTGCAGCAGGAAAAGCATGCCGAACTTCGTGGGCAACCAGTCACGGGGCAGTATACAGCCCAGGTCCCAATGTCAAGCACAGGCCCAACGTGAGACACTGGCGAGAAACTTTGCTTTACGGCAAGATTATATGCAAATACAGTACACTGGACAAGCCATGGCTTGTTTTCCGTGGAGACCCAGAGTAGTCCTTTTCAGTCCAGCATAGAGTGCTGGAACAGTGTGGATAGCTATGGATCAAATTGAACCGGGACTTGTTCTTGGTAGAGATCATCTGCCAAGAAATGGGAGTCTCCTGTTATATATTCAGTTGTCAGCACTGCAGTTACACATAAAATTGAGAGGTTGGCCGACCACCGTTTGGCACGGTCAAATCCCCCATTGCCGAGCTTGATTTTACGTGCTCCTCCAGGATGCCACGACATCCCATTCACATGCCAAGAAAGACGGATAAACGAAAATGGGCAATTGTGAATGGGTTTGTATCCCTCCGCCATATATGCTATAAGATGTTCGCAATGTTGCGGCCTACAGCTCCTCTCCACAGTCTTTGAGATCGACATCCCCAATATGCCGGTCTTGACAAAGTGATTTCCTTCACCCTTTGTCCAGTCTAATCCTCAGCATCTACGTACGAACTATCACAACTATCACACCTGAGATAATGTACATACCCATTCCCCGGATGGAGGGACCACCCCCGTGGTGGCACTTGAACATCTGAAACCCATTATGCCTTAACACATATTTCTATAATTATACGTTATCCATTCTCCATCATGGCCGTTCCCGTCATTCTGAACGCCCACAGAACAGACCTGCGCCTGCGCCTGCGCTGACTGAGGGCTCTGAGGGTGGATCGCGGTAAGCCCACGTCAAATAGTTCGCACATAGATCGTGTCTCCATACCGAGCTTGCTTTTTCTTTTGCCTTGTTGGTGAGGGTCAGTTACATGTCATGGGAGTCGGACCGACGCGCTTACCTGCGTGCAGTCGTTTGTCCAGAGGGCTTTTTTCCAGATTTTCGGGTAGACTTTCGCGAAGGTCTCCGTAAAGGCAGTTGCTCATTGAGGGCAGGGTATTTAACTCTCCATCTGCTGAGGTCCATCATAAGAGCGTTATGTGTGCGGCGTCCGGTGATTGCACCTTCTTCGAAGGCTATCTGTTTCCATTCAACACCACGCCGATACTTCCAGATAATACGTATCTGAAAAGAGTTGAGGCCCATTTTGCGCAGCCAAGCATACCACTCTAGTCCCTCTTCCGTTTCTCCCATGTCGCAGTCAGCCAGTCTGCTGATGCTGCTCATTATCTGGGAACATGGACTTGACGAAAGGGGTTTCGTTGGGACTGGGACTGGCTCAGTAGGCTGAGACCCAAGCAGTGCGAACGGGGCGCTTTGAGGGGCCCCGGAGGCAGGGCTAATTAGAGGACTTTGTGGAAGCAGGTATGGTGTCTGCAGGGCATTTTTCACGGATTTTGGGGGCGTTGGGGGTGGTGAGGGAAGCTGCTGTTGCTGAGGCGGTAACCAGCCTTCGCCCATTGCTGGATATGCTTGAGCGTAACCAAAGGGTGAATGCATTTGTTGCGGTGTCGATGGCGGCAAAAGACTCAGGGGGCTGTCCAGCATGTCTAAGAGCATCGGCGTGAATAACGGATTATCAAATACATTGGACTCTGCCACTGGAAAAGAAGGAAATTCGGATGTTGGCCATGTTCCCTCCAAGAGCGGCGCCTGGCCGTTAGTAACAGGATACAATTGATACTGTTGTTGGTGATAAACGGGCAATGTTTGCTTGCAAGCGTAACAAGTGGATTCGTAATATGGCGATGAGAGTGCCTTGATCGATTCTCAGCATGAGCAGTTGCCGGAACACGGTGGAAGAAGAACGTAATCAAACTCACAAGAAATGGGTCTTCCATGTTGAAGTGAAGTCACATGTAACAATTTCCAAGTCTCGTTATTTGGCTCCGATATCACTGGGGTCTCGCGATCGGAGAGAATCCATCTGGTCCGCCGGCCGCCCCTTTATGTTCGTTTTTTTCAGCAGTCAGAATGTGCTCGCATCCCATCTCCATTGTTTTATCAAAGCCTCAACGTTCTCCTTCTCTCAAATGTGGCATGGATCTCCGTAGAGAACTTCTGGTTCGGTTGACAATGAGACGGTACCTTAGGCTAACTAATTCTGGACGACGTGAAACGAACGGCAAGAATCCAGACCCGCGATCTCGCCTCCCATTTCGACTTTGGGACTTGTTGAACCATTTCCGTACGCCTCCCCCCAAAAAAGTGTGGTCCTGTCGACGGTGAGGCCAGACACGGGACTGGGGGTTGCATTCGCCAGTCGAGGTGTTAAGGGCTGTATGTATCGGGGGTTGGATTTAACAAAGTATGAGAACCTCCACAGACATCTGCCGCTGTGAATAGCTGTCGTAAAGTCATGTGGGGGGAGCCAAAACGGCAGTCATTTCTTACCCAGTGCCAGAGAACGCGAAGTTGTGATACGTCAGCCCACCGCGGCAGGATGCTTTAATATTTTGTGGCCCAGTGCCACAGGCAGCAGGCGTTCGGGGTCAAGTTGAAAAAAGGGTGGAGGCTCCCCCGGAGACCGGCCGAGGTGCTCTCCAAGGCAGTTAAGTACACGGCCTGTCACAGCGTCGTTGTCTCACGCTCCGGCCAACATCCAACAAAAAGAACTGGAGATGCACACACACCTTTACAAAAATGTAGCGGGTCTATGGGAGGCGAAGTCAATTTATGTCATATGAGCATACGACAATACACGGCCCACAGATGGCATGGTTTCAGGCAAGCGAGCCCCTTGGAAATGGTCAGCGTTGGAAATGGTATTTATAACAAGACATCTAGGTCTAGCTGCGGCGGGCAGCGTGATGTTGTTTGCAAAACGAGGTGCACTGCATTCTTGTCAGCAAGTACTAGAGCAGGTCAACAAAGCATAGTACAAGACAAAGTTCCGTCCTTACAGCTCAGGAATATATTTGCGACTCTCATTTCCCTCGCACGATGAATCAAACATATCATGAACAACATTATGCAACTGGACACCAACCTTACGGCGTCCCTGCCTCATACAATGCCCAGCAGCTCGCGGCGCAACAACAAGCACAGGCCAATGCAGCTGCCATGTATCGTATTCACAACCAGTGGCGCAGAGATAAAGAAGAACAGCTGAAAGATGTAGTGTGGGGGGCGCTGGCACCTGGTATGCAACAATGTGTCAGAGATATGGCTGCGAAAAGCGATGAGCATAGCCAGGAGTTGAGGGACATACGGGATGGTCTGACCTCAACAATTGCGTCAGTTTCCGAAAAGTTGCACAGCTTCCAGGAAAGTGTAGTCTGCCAATTCGGGGACTTGGGCGCGGATGTCCAGGCGTTGAAGGATGAGGCGCAACAGATGCCGCGGCGTTTTCTGAGTTTCGAGGAGGACAATGAAAGAATGCGCACAAGTCAGGAATGCCGCGACCAGGAGCTTTTTGCGAGGATTGACCAGCTTGAAAAGAAGATGCAGCTGCAGTCCGAGAGCATTCTGAGTTGTATCCAGCAACTGTTCGAGCAGGCCGAGATCAAGAATGACCAAAGACAAAACAAAGTCATGGGCATGCTTGGCGAAGTCTCGGCACAAAATCTGAGCATTCAGCGGTATTTTTCGGCCCCCTTGAGCGAACCGAGAATGAAGACAAGGTCCCAGGGGAGGAGGAGGAGCATTGGCCATGAACTACAGGACGTCCCCTTTGTTCGGGCTGCCAGAGACGCCGTAATCAAGGCATTAAAGGAGGATCCTTCCCCCAGAAAACTGGACAAGAAGGATTGTCCGCGTTGCGGGCCTTCAAAGCCAAAGCGCCGAAGACGGGGATAGAACAGCTAGCAATTTCCAATTTCACAGTGTTGCTCAATTTATCTAATACACTGATGAAAGTATACGACTGTCATTATTAGCTACTTGATGAATCGCGTAACACAGGTATTAGCAGATTTTTCCTTACCGTCCGGAGAGTACATACTGTAGGTTAAAGACAAGATCGGCTTCTCCATTACTTAACTTGAAACGAGGTTAAGAGATGTATTAAGGATGCATGACAAACCGTCCTGATACGTAGAACGGTAGAGGTGCCTACCCTATTCACAGCCTTGAAGATGAAGCGAAGAGGTCCATTACCGCGAAGCAGAATCGACTTGAACATCGTGCGTAAGGGAAGTATCGTTTCGATCACACTTCGCCCGAAGATTATCAAAGTACATAATGCAATAAATCTCTGCCATATGTGCAGAGAGAGTTCCCCAACGCGATGTGAAAGGAATCCGTTGGTGTCAGAGCCGAAACAACTACCACTGTACATAACGCCTTGCGAGTTGTAATGCTGAAAATTGGAATCGACGGGATGGAATAGGAGACTGGCAACCGGACAAATCGAATGGATTAGTTGGAAATGGCATTGGTACAAGGGAATTACGACGCAACGAAATTCCTGAGACAAAGATTTCGTTGATAACGACGGCGTGAACGGTGTGTCTGCGTTGCATTGTTTCAGCTGTCGGTCGAACAATTACTCCAGCCTTCTCGCAATACGTAAATACGTATTATGTTTAGACGCCGCAGCCTCGAATCCTATGGCCGATGTATGACGAGTAACGAAGCTCAGACAATAGTGATGCGCAAGGTGCAAAACCGGCTTGCAATTAGGTCGGCTCAAATGGGGTGTCCCAAAGTTGAGGCCAGAGACACGTATCGCACGTCGTTATTATGGGCTACCAAGGAGGGGAACTTTACCGTTAGCAAGGGGCTGCTGGGAAAGGTGCGGAAGTCGAGGCCAGTGATATGTAGTATCGAATACCTCTGCTATGGGCAGCCAAAAATGGCCAGTCAGCCATCTTCAAGCTGCTTCTGGAAATGGCGCACAAATCGACTCCGCTGATAAATATGGTCGTACGCCGCCGTCGTGGGCGGTTGAGAAGAAGTACGAAGATAATTATTACAATACTTCTTGAAAATGGTGCTGACGTCGAAAGGAAAGACACATTAAGTGAGACGCCGTTATTTGTAGCCACCAAGATAGGGGCTGAGTCCATAATCGTGCTACTCCTTTAAAAAGGGGCTGATACCACGGCTGAGGGTGAATATGGCCAAAATACGCTATTGTTGGTCTCGCAGATGGTAGGTAGGAGGGAGTCGTCAGGCTCAACCTTTGAAATCTATCGTACGATGGATTTTCTAACTCTGGCTTACTTGTAACGGTCTAAGCTGAGTATATTGATAACTAGCTAGGCGACTACTACGAGTACAGTATCTAAACGCTAAAGAAAGAGAAAACAGAGCAAGGAAAGGAGAGCTCGAGGAGCTCTTGAGCTCCTGAGCTCGACACGTGGTTAATCTCGCTTATGGATGGGTCCCGGCCGGGGGCCGGGGCCGAAGGCGAGAGTGCAAGCCGAGCCATATCGGGCTCAGCCCGTTATTATACTCAAATTTCGAGCGGCGATAAATCACAAGTTCGACAATAAGATTCCCTCGCACGTACATCATCAGCATAATTCAAGGACACCTGTTTTTCGCCAAGTACTCGCCAGCCAGTGAACCGAGATCCTCCTTATAGCGGGCGTTGCAAAATTCTAGAACCCTGATATGGGCAAGAAAAAGTTGGACAGATATAGTATCAAGTATCCGCAACAAGATGACATAGATTACGAAGTGACACCAAGCTCTTGGACAAGGCTCCAGGCACACAAGCTCATCAAGTGTTTGTGAACTCAACCGGAAAGATCAAGGACTATTCCAACTGACGAAGTACAGTTACAAAGAAAAATGGGCGGTTAAGATGCGAGAAAGACAGTTTCATTTTTGTGGCATATACAGGCGACACAACTCGATGTATCAAACCCTGCGTCAAGAAGCCCCGCGACATCGACATCAGTATCGCTCAAGCCATCGAAATAACGTCCTGCTCGCCTCCTGACCATGCGTTGGTCGTCGTCCGCTGGTTGTATAGGCCAGAGGAAATTCCTGAAGGCACCAGGTGGAAGAGCAACTCCCTTCCAGTCCGAGGTCGGCAGCCTTGCCATGGATGCAACGAAGTCATTTTATCTGATCACTGTAGGACAACTGATCTTATCGGCATTGTAAAGACGCTCAATATGGATATAGATGACATAATGCCGGTTCGTGCCATTCACGGATTAGCCGGTGTCAAAGACATGACCACAGCAGGCACCTTGCCCAACTCAGCGAACGTCTATCATTATCGACAGTTTTACCGACACTTGGACAAAATATTAATTGTGAGTGGCTTTGTTATGTCTTGAGCCTGTAAATCCCAACTACTGGCCAAAAGTCAGGTTTCATTTTAAATAGGCCATAAGGAGCGAAATCAGGAACGACGTCGATGTTAGCAAATGTTAGTTTGTGTTTACGTTCGGGATATGTCAGTGTAATTTTCTTGCAGCTTCTTCAATGGGCTGGGCCCGAAGGTGGGTCAGCTTGCAATGTCGCCTCCGTCCCTGCCCGGAGGTCGGGACCCTGTAACAAACGAGATGGACTGCGTCATCCTTTTCTTGTTCTGTTTTCTCTTTCTTTAGCTTTGGATATTCATAGTAGGCGCCTGGCCGGTTGTCAACATACTCGCTCGGACCGTTATACACAGGGCCAATCTTTGATGCATGTAAATATAACAGTTATGAAATGAAGCATTGAGTGAAATGCACACACAAAAAGATAACATTTGTCATCACAGTTCAACTCAGAAGCTCCTCTTGCCCGAGACTCCTGACGTAATACAACCTCACCATATTTGATACGGAGTGCCAATTCGCAGCTTGTTGGCATAAAGCAAGGGCTGTGCATACTAATAATGTCGCTATGGTGGATAGATCCTTGACGAGCTAGGTATACCCGCGTTGCTTTCGCCGCACCAAGACCACTAGCAGCCGTTCCCTGGGTGTTTGCATCCAACCAGCGCAATCAGTGTATTTATTTCTTTCGTGAAATCTATCGCCTTGTTTATGCCATATTACGTCTTCAAAGACTCCCGTTCTCCGAACAAGTGTAAGGTCTCGCCTCACTCCTCTCTATTTACAATTAGTACGGCAATGTAGGCGGAGTCATCGAGATGTCCTCGCGCTGACCCACGGTATTGGATCAACGGGCACTCCAACCTAAACTTGCAATTTTGGCCACAGACATTGATCATTTTGCGGTACAAGAGTTAATTCTAGGACTGTACATTACTATTCTACGATAAACTGGATGGGAAGCCCGACTCCGATTATATGCCGCCGCCAAGTTGATCTGCAGTTGCTCTGGAAGATAAAAATTTGGGTCGCAGAATTTGTGTCATAGCTTGCGCCCACCTCCAAGGTTCATCCATGCCCCTGGTAACGCTAAGACCGTACTCCCAGCCCATTATGCCTCCGATCCGCCCGTATTTTTCCCTCAAAGATACAATTGTAGTATTAATATTGAGTTGACCAAGCCGATCGTAAGTAAGTGTACCAGAAGAAAGCTGTCCAGCCACCACCCGAGAGGCCTTAAACCCATTCGTCACAATGTCGTGGTAATCTTTTGTGCTGGACATTGTACCGAATCCCCCGTAAAATTGACAGTTATAGAAGCTAATTTTACACCCCTTCCGATACTCTAGTAGCTTATAGTCAAGCCCACTAAGATTTCCTCCGTTTTTAAGAGCGGAAGCCACCGGGGCCAAAGTGATGATAAAGCCAGATCCGAAATCGCAGTGAATTTTATCAATCAGACGTTCTATGCCATCTTGGCTCATGGGCTGCTCAACATCGATGTCTAAGCCGTCCAGTTCGTATCGAAAGATCACTTCACGTATTTGGGTGTAGTATTTCTCAAAGACATCTTCGTCGCCGTCCAGCGTCTCTGAGGTGAATGAGCCAGGAGCGGCACCACCAATCATACCCATAACTTTCACGCCGGCCTCTTTCATGATTCGCGTTTCGTTCCAGAGAGTATAGAACATTGGATCGCTTGGGGGGAAGTCGTTTAAATGAATTTCGCGATTCTTTTGTACGTGAAATGAAGAGATAATTATATGTGTTAGTGCAATACTCTTATCTTTGATCAGGGGTAACATTGAGATTGGTGCGCCGTTCGAATCATGGGTCGTTTGAAAATAGACGACCAATCGGGGAAGTATGGGTATCGTATAGACAACTTCAACGATAGGGGATGCTAGTGACAGAGGTATTAGAATTGCGAGCAAATATAATGATCTGAACATGCTTCCAGCCTGTGGTCTGCTGATTGCACCACCAAGTACAGATTAAGAAGACAGTCGCGGCCAGCAAAAGCAAAAGCGTAGTTCATAGCTAAATATCCTCCCCCCAACATGGAACTTTCATTAGCTAATGGCCATATTCCATTATCATGGCCATCGTCGATATGATATGGCTCAAGTTGATCTTCAAACGTAAGCCCTTTGCGACGTCGTCAATGACTCGTGGGGGTTTCAAGACTAATGCAGAGATTGCAAAATTTGAAGTACCTAGATTTACCGAACTTGCGGTCATCAAGGAGAGTGGTGTCCGGTTGAAGTCCGCTTCAGAGAACGACCCCCGTCGACCGCGGCTGTGGGATTCAACTCAGTCCTACGAGCTGTGGCCTCGAAATCGGTGATGTTCAAGCTTTAAAGGGAACCGTAGACGGGTACTAGTAGCCTAGCGCAAATTTAACAACGCCAAATTTACAGTTCAGTACGCCCCGAAATTTGAAATATTGTAATATCCTGGCGAACCGTAAGTATTATTCTGAAGTAAGTACTTAGATACATCTTTTTACATAAGCAGTAAGGGTATTAATCGTTATGGACCTACATACTTACGGCAAGTTTATATTCACAGTCACTCGAAATTAAATAATCGCGTCACTCATGACACGATACTTACATCCCTGGCAAGATCCATTACCCAGTCCGACGATTATTAAAACGAAGCTAGCCAACGTCGCATTTTAAGGGAATTTCGAGCAAAGTGTTTCTTAGAACCATTTCTTTGAAAGGAACGTGAAGGAATTTTTATTATGTTCTGAGTAGCAGCAAATACGACTATAAATACCAATTTCGCTACAGACTTTCGACTCTCGCCGTCAGAAATAAGACCAGATCCCCACAGTGAAGACGGCAACATGACACAGAATGCCGTCCAGAGCGCGACAGATCCGGTTAACACTATGGTATACACAAACATGCCCCTCGACAAAGGCAAGCCAGAATCCTGGCTCTCAACTGTGAGTGCCGTATTACTCAATAACGGGGCACGTATAGACAATACGAAATATGAGATTTTATCATATGATGATTTCCACAATATCAGGACCAACAGTGTCGAGGACCTTCAAAAATTACAATCATCTTGGCGAAATCTCGATCTTAGACGCAAAGAGCTAGCTACCGTAGGAAATGGCGTAGATGGTGGCAGCAAAGTCTCAGGTTCGGAGCTGCTTGCGTGCGAGAAACAGTACACTGGTCTTATCTTGAAGCATTCCAGACTTGAACAGCAGTGGTCGAAGAGGCAAGAGGAGCTTCTCAAGCACTATATTGCAATTTTCCAATATTTACATCTTCTTATCAAGGAGGATTCCTCATTCATCAAGCCTCTATCTCCAGATGATGAACAGGATCAAATAGGCAAACTTGAACGTCTCTCCAGAATATTGGAGCCATTGAAATTGAAACTTCAAATAGAGCAATCGAAACTCAAAAGCACTAGGGAGTGCGGCCACAACCCAAGCCATGAGATCACTAAGCTCGAACGACTCTGTAATGATCTTACATTAGAGAGATATAATGTAGAGCGGCGCATATTGCTTCTCGGACAAGAAATGCTCAAACACCGAGTTGCCGGTTTTCTTGTACAGCTCATGGACACTACTTTGGCCCCTGAAAGTACGCTCATTAATAACGGTCGAGGAGACTCCCAGGCCTTTGGTCGGAGCAGCCCACATATCTCCGAGATCGATAGGTCGGGTAGTTGTCCGCCAAGCGTGTCAGAGTTAACTTCTTCCCGAGAAAACCCAACAGCAAAGTTGCCCCCCTACGACGAAAACACCAGCAAGCCGAAGAACAACCAGAACAACCTGAGAATTGCCGAAGAATCACAACGATATAATGTTTCGAGAGCTGGCGGCAATATCATGGGAGAACATTCAGGATTCATAAACGCGCAACAAACTGCTATCCTACCAACAGTAGGTGGCGATAGTACGTTGAGAAACGAGCCTAAAGGCGCAGAAAAAACGGTAGAAATATTGGATGTACGAACATACAGGGAACAAACTGATGAAGAAATTGAAGAAAGTGATGAAGAAATGGATGAAGAAGTTGGTGGGGGAAATGGTGAAGATGGGGGCGAGGACCTGAGTGACACTGAATATGACGATGGATTGAGTAGAACCTCGAGCCCGGAATTAGGCAAGCTGGCAGAATTGGAACGTCGACAACGGCTTATGCGCCGTGTGGTAAATTCGGAAGACGTGGAGTGGCAACTGACCCAAGAAAATCGGGAGCTCCTTGAACGCTTACAGCAAGAGAAGGAAAGCGTCAACAAGCTTCAGACTGCGCTCGACCAAAATGCTCAAAGAGGTTTCTCCGAGGACGACCCAATGAAGGCTGCTATTATAAACCTCATGGCCCAAGCGGTCATAGTGAGGGGTGTAGTCGATGCAACCTCTGGTCTTCCTAAAGATTTGGAAGAGAGCGTTGCACTGCTAGGAGACACAACAAGGAGTTTAGCGAAAATAGTGAAAATAGAAGGTGCTGGAGGCAGATGAGGACTTGAAGCCTCCTGGAACCAATCATTGTCTATTGGAGGCGTTCAAGAACTTGGACCTGAAGATGCATGGAGCCGATGCTGTATGTTAATGCTTTGTATGTCTTTGTGAAATTATCGGCTTTTCGTTTAGATAGGTTGTAATTTACTCCTACCTCATAGAGGGTGTGAAGATTATAGTCGCCTCTTCTACACTTTGAGCATGTTAAATGTGCAAAATTTGTCGCCAACCCAGCTTCCTCCAGATTCAGATGCAGCAACCACCATGATTGTAGCTATCTGTCTGTTGCTAAATATCAATAGCTAGTTTAAAAATAATTTGAAGAATTTCCCGATAAGTCCGGCATTGGTTTTGAACTACGCGATCTGCACAGCAGCAACCACGGTGATAGTGCTAAGCCGCCTTGGATATGCGAAGCCACCCCTCCGGGGCCCCTTGACCAGCTGTGTATTGGTCATGTATTTATCATACCTACCATACAATATTGTTCATGGAGCACATTGCCAGGTTACCATGTGTCTCATCCCCAAACCTCGCAACTGCCAGATCCGAGTCTCAGACTAGTAAGCACGATCAGCAATACGGACGTATGAGCAAGGCTAGCAGAGCTGTATTCTTATCTTAGCTACATGCGGCATTAATGATGTTAGAATGGACAGAGCTCCACTCGTATTCTGACTTGTCTGACTCTGAGTAAGTGGCATACCCCAGCCGTCAGCCTTGGGCTCCAATGCTACTCCATACTATTGCAGCCCACTTCGAGGTTGCGCGGTATCAGCCGCTTACACCAACTGCCGTGGAGTTCGTTAAGAGCAAGACTGTTGACCGCGTTGTTAGCGGGGCTAACAGTGTCACTGTACTAGCAATACAGTACATATTTAACATTTGACAGAGATTGTAACTAAAAGTAGCTTTGTGTATAGGGTTAGGGTTGTATTTAAGTAATTAACTAAGCTATATCCAAAACTTTTTAAGTACATAAGTATTACAGGAGAAAGGCTTTGAAAGAAAAAAGTCATAACCCTAACCCTATTACTGAAGCTACTTTCAGTTACAATGTTGTGTTGCTAGTGTAAGGGGCACGGGGCTTATTCAGCCAGAAGCGTGTTACGAACCAACAAATTGATTGCATTGCAGAGAAGAAGAACCTCAAGGAGCTGGCTACCTGTTTACATAGATCCATGCTCAGGGGCAGATTGTGAGGCCTTCATTTGGTGGCGTTATTGCATCGGTGTCAGCCGAGTGCACCTCAACGGCCCAGCCCGTTACAACTAGATTTGCATAACCCCCCATTCTCACTGGATAAATGCATACAGGGGCGTGTCGCAAGCGACACGCTTAGTTGCGTCCAAAAATGGAGAGAAGAAGGACGGAATACAGCACAACAGACAATAATGAATCACTGGGCGCCGACACACCCATTCAGCTTTTACAGTGACGCCTTTTGTGACAGTATCCACACCGTACTTCTGACATCTTGATAAGGGCTTTTATGGGGCTACAGAGCCGAATCCTGGTCCAAGACTTCGGCGAAGCGAACCCAGGAGTGGTTAGGAGAGTCTCCGTCCAATCACTGCCTGGTCAAGGCTGATGGGCAAAATATATGTGGGGCCTAAAGATGGTGTGAGGCAGAGAGAACTCCTTTCAGGCAAGGGTTGCTTTTTTTGTGGGTCGAATCAAGCCTCGGTCGGGCTGGCGTTATTTCGCCACCGAAGTACTTCCCTGCGAGCGATCACAAGCGGAAGCTGGGCAATACTTTAAGCCATGTAAATATAAGGGACGTTCTCCAGAAGAAAGGATACCAAAGTTTCCGAGGATGCTGCCACCATTTTTTTCTGATGTACAGGTTCCTCTTTGTCTTAAACTGCCATTAATACACGCCAACTCGCCTGGAATTGGCCGCAGCTCATATAATACCGCTCCTTAATAAGTCTCGGTCAAACTGTCGAGTCTGCCAAGGACATTGTTTCAGTCCACAGGCTCAAGTTCAGCCATGATTTATGTGGATAACCCTTTGGAGGGCCGTACATGGTGTAGGAAGCCAAACAAAAGGGTATGTCATAATCATCAAATGTCAGCACACAGTGCCACAGAATTAATGACCCAACTGAGCAACTCATAGTGTGATGAAAGTGAACTTCCTTGTAAAGGGCGTATCAGAAGTAACAAGGGCGACCAATGCAAACTCCCGAATGACCCGACATCAAGTCACGCGAGTCTCGAACTGTCGACTCCACGGCACAGGCGTAAAACAAACCCTGATTCGCCTGAAGGAGGCTCTGCTACCGAACTGATGGATAACACATCTACGAGTGCCTCAATAAGGGCTGTTAACGATCAGTTCCTGTTCCAAATGGCCAAAAAAACAATTTATTTCAAATCACTTTTGGGAAGTATGCTACAGAATCGAGGCTGGTTATGCTGGATCTGTCGTTCCGCTGTTGGGCAACACGAAGCATAATTGTTACTACCAGGCTTCTCTAGCTTGTATTATGGCGTCTCTGGCGGTCCGGCAAGACAATAACCAAGTCCTTTATCGACCTCGAGCCAGAGTTACATACGAAATGGCGAAGTTAGCAACCGAGACTACATTGAAAGTCCCAGAGGTTGCGAAACAAGATGCTACACTGGCGTCCATCCTGCTATTAGACTTGGCCAATCGTATTTTGCCTAGAAAAATGGACTTCTATAGCCATATTTCCGTCGCTGTCGACTTTGTCAAAAACTGCCAATCACTTAATACCTCTCCATCTGGCCAGTTAATGTTTCTTGCCATCAGAACCCAAATGGTGAGTGTATATTTCGCCGCATCCCTGACCGTCCGCCACTCCATTTGGACTAATACATTACCGCAGATCATGCAGAGCCTCTCTGCTTCTACACCACCTGACAATGATGAGGTGTGGTGGCCTAAGCATACCATTGGCGATAAGAATGCCTCAGAGTGCCACAAGCTGTGCATGGAGGTCGCAGCGCTTGCGGCAGAGACATACCGGCTCTTAAAGGATGAGGAAAGCGTTCGAGCTATCGGAAAACTTGTTAGAAAATGCCTCGATTTAGATCAGAAATGTTCCCTGTGGCCTGAAGATTTACCTAGGCATCTTCAATACCATCGACTGTATTGGCATCACCCGAGCTCGTCGGTTGACTACAACACCGCCGAGGTATATTCCGGACACATCCTGCTTTACAGTGATCGATGGGTCGCCACAATTTGGAACATGATGCGATGTGCCCGTATCGTTCTCAACTTGAGTATTTCGCGGTGCTTGATGTACTCCAGCTCCGGTGGCCAAGCCTGCGAAAGTATTGCAAGTACCATGACGGGCTTGGTTGACGACATCATAGCTACAGTTCCATACCAGCTGCGCTGTGTCGGGAGTCTGGTTGGGGATGGCTCATTGATGGGCCAGTGGGGAACTTCAGTCATTTGGCCGCTCGCCATGATAGTATCGCTGGCTTGTGTCAAAAAGGAACAGCGGATTTGGATTCGCGCTCGCCTTAAGCACATTAGCTCGCGCCTCGGAATTGGACTCGCGCAATTGATCCTTGATAGGGAACAAGCGCAGGACCTCGGCTGCCTTCTTCCCTGGCTTGAACCCCCTTGTAGTCTCCATCAGGTGCCAGTTTCTGGGTTGATCATTTCAAACCAGTTACCAAGGTTAGAGGCTCTCCTCCAGGCGCCTGGTGCCCCCTGTTGAACGTCACAGCGG